CTTGCACAGTCCGAGAACCAGCGTTTCACCGCAAGAGCGGCAGAGTCGTGGACACAGACGCTGCCGAGCCTCAGCCCGTGCCGATCGCGGTGCCTTGGCCGTGTGTCCCGCCAGCGACATGTGAAAGACCAGGACACGGGAGCACCTGGGGCCAGTTTTGCACCAAAATGCAATGGCGGTGCAAGTTGTTCACGACCTAGTAACGTTTTGTGGGTGTGCGCCCGCCGGCCCCATGCCATGGCACTGGGGGAATGGTGCTATAATACTGGCAATGGAGTAGTCAGCTGGGCAATGGTGTCACAGCAAAACTGCGTCCTTTGAATGTCACGGTAACAAGGGTGTCGCAGAGATTGGTAAGATACTTGTTAGTCACCAAGAACTAAGCACATGCAGAATAAGGAAGAGAGAAGTTTGTCCTCAGGATCTTAACAGAAAATTATGTTTTAAGCCCCGTAGCAAAAGGGGGAACACAGATTTTATTACTCCTATAACTCCAAGGGATCAAGGTGGCTTGGAATAGCCAGGAGGTCTTGTCTGCTATGGTCCTGAAGAGAAGACAGTGAAGGACACGGGTGCAAAGCCATTCTCTTGGCCATTGGGGAGTCTCTGTGTGCGGTGCCCCACAGAGAACTGTTTGTATCCCATCTGTGTCCCTAATCCTGGCTATTCTGGTCCCAGTGTCTAATATTAGGAGTGGCTGTAGGGGATGTCAGGGAGCAGCAAGCTGCAGAGGGAGCACATTACATCTGTAGTCTGCCTGTGGTTTTCAGGGCAGACAGATAGTGCTACTGTAGTAACACTAGCTGCACAGAGAAAACACAGGTGGAGAGCACACCACTTGCAAGCTGGTTTTGTTCAATTTCTCAGGGTCAGGTGCTATCACCTGATCTTCTACAAGTTTGTGCCTGTGTCATGTCCTTGCCTGAAACTCATACTAATGAATCCTGAGTGCTGGGTGACTCTAGGATTTGCATTTGGAATGGGAAGTGGAAATAAAATTTTACTTTAATTACTGAAATGCTTCCAGCTTTAAAGAGTGTCAGACAAAGCTTTCGAGAGACAGGAGGTGTGCTATTTTCAGCCATGCTCCGGTGAGAGATCCATGGTGGGGGGGCACAGAGGGTGAGATTGACATGACACGTGTGTAGGACAACTCTGGCCCCTTACCAAGAGCAGAATCAAATGTCTAATCATAGGCAGAGCAGCAGCTGAGAGTCCAGAAGAGCAGGGAAGGCTGGGCTTGACAGTCTCAACTCTCTTCTTGCGTGTGTGTGTGAACTTGAAGAAGAAAGTGAGCAGAGGGCCTTTGGGGGGACTGGAGAATCGTTGTGTGAATTGTGAAGATGGGAGTAGAAGATACTCCCTGTTAAGAACTGGAGTCTGTTTTGAAGTTGGGAAAGCAAAACATCCGAAGCGCAGAGATCATGGGAGCTGAAGAAGAAATGCTCATCACGCTGTCTGGAGGTGCCCCCTGGGGCTTCCGGCTGCAAGGGGGTTCAGAGCAGAAAAGACCTCTTCAGGTGTCAAAGGTAGGACCTCGAGATGTGAACTGTGAGGGCAAAGCTGAACTCGGATATCTCTACTGAGTTGAGCATCTTTCACTACCATTAAGGAATGCAGGAACTCCTTACTGTGGCAGCAGATCTTAAAAGGAAAACTTGGGTGGAATGGTCAAGCAGGGTGTGGGGTGGGATGCAAGTCCTGAAATAGATGCTGTTGAGGTAGAGACAAGTGTCAGGTGAAGACCTGCTTCAGTGCAGGTCTGTACAGCTCAGACACTATAATCTGTACAACTCTTCCGCAGTCGTCAGCAGATATATAACCATAGTGACAGTGCAGGAAAAAGGGGTCAAATGTGGAAGCTTCAGTACTTGTGTAAGACATCCAACTAAAGAAAAAATAATTTAAATCAAAGCAACAAACGCCATATTTGTAATTCAATTCAACTGTCCCTAACACTTCATTACTATATTCCAGCTTTCAAAATAGATGCGCATTTCTTAGGGTCTCTTCTTTTGGTGAAACTTTCTCAATACTATCTGAAGTTAATATTTTTGATGCTCTAAGCAGCAAATATTGGTTCCATTTCAAGAATTAAAAACAAGCAGTTGCTTGGATGGGAGATGAAATAATAAAAAAGGAATAAACATGAACCTTGAGTTGCACTACTTTTGATAAACAGCTGTTACTGTTCTCTTTTCATAAGACTACTGAGTAGCTTAAAATTAGGAAAAAAGGTCCTCTGTTTATTAAGCTCATAACAGGTGCATTAGCCTTGACACAACGATATCTTGGGATGTCTGACTGGAAGGCACCCAGCAAAATGCTATGCCCAGCTCCTTCTGTTTCCGTAAGTAGAGTGTGCCTCTGACAGAGAATTTTAAAAAGAAATATTCTATGTCATTTGGCTCACCCCAGGTCAAGGAGTGTTTGTCTGTAACTTCTGCCAAACGGTTTGGAATCCCATAGCTTGGCCCTGAAGTGGATGTTTCTTATATGGAGAAAGACAATTTTTCTCCAGGAAAAAAACTTCTGCACATACTCATAGAGCTTAAGGTGCTGAAGAGAAAGAATCAATATCCTTGAAACGGGTATCTGGCATCAGTGGTTGTTAGGAAAATGGGAATTTCAGTGGCCACATAAACTCTGTAGGGTCTAGGATTACTTTGACTCTTGTTTTTCCCCAAATATACAAGAAACTGGGACTGAAGAGGGAGGAGATACTGAGTGTCTATTATAAAGATTACTCAGGATTGAACAGCGGCAAGAGCTAGCTGTTACCCAGGCTAAGTTGCACCCTAAGGTGAATGGAATATTGCTCAAGGATTAGTAGCCCTTCCAGAAAGGTATTAACTAGAAGTAGCTCTCACCCAGAACTGGGTGTCATACCTTAAGTCTAGCAATACAAATATATATATATATATATATTTTACAATACTTGGATATTGCATTAAAAAATATGGAAAATATAACTGATGCAAATCTTTTTGAGGATCAAAGTATACATCATTCTTCAAGCAGGACTTTGATTTTGTAATTATCATTTTGAGCTATTATTGCCCAGAATTCAATGGTATCCAGGTGACCACACATACTCACTGTCTTAAAGGCAACACTGTTTAAACAGTCTCCAAAGAAAGGATTTACGGATCCTTACTGGGAGCCCCATAAGATCATATCTGAATGTAAACTGCTTAGAAGAGAATAAACCTCCAGGAGTCATGGAGTAACTTAATTGTCCTCCTCTTACCGTGCAGAGAGTAGAAGCTTGAATCTCAGTTTTCAGCTCTTTGTGTTGAAAGATCAGCTCTTCATTCTTCTGCAGTTAGAATTCTGCTATTGACACCAGCAGGATGAAGTCTGGGCCAAAATGCTGCCTGCAAAGCATCTTCCAAAACTCTAACATCATCAGCACTGTCTGTTTGGATATTTTAGGAGCCAAAGATGGGAATGGTCCCATCGCTAAAGAAGCCTGACCAGGGATTTTGGCCATATGATATAGCATTGAGAAACAGGGCAGTATTGTGTGTTTCTCTGTTGGTTCGTTAAGAGCTGGGACTCATGTGGATGAGCAATTCGCTCTGTTCAGCCTCCATCCAGGAGATCAGTGCCACTGGGCAGCACTGGGAAGTGTGGTCAGAGGGAGGTGTCACTGAGATTGAGCCTGCTTAGTAGAGGTAAGCTCAAATAACAACACGATGTTCATTAGTATGGTGAAGAATGTGTTGTGCGTGTATGGATTAGATACAGATTAGATAAATGAGAGGGTCTATTAGTAAGCTGATTGCTGTCCAAGAAAGGACTCTTGGGAAGAAAGAGAAGTCGTCATATGAGACCAGGAAAACTTTGGCTTAGCAGAACAGAAATATTAGTGCTTTGGTTCTTACAGCAAAACCTATTTGGGCAGAACAGGAACATGGATGAATCTGGAGAAAATGTGATAGGAGATAAAAGCATGAATATCCAATAAGTGCTAGGAGATAGTTGAGTGGGTACAGTTGGTGTCTCAGGGGATTCCAGTGCTGTCATTTTAGGCAATTTCAACTTCTAGACTAGAAAAGTTGTAACACTAAGGAAAGATGCTTACCCTTGGATGCCGAATCAAATTGTTTCTGTATACCCTTCTGGATGAAAAAGAGCAATAAAAAGCTAATTTGGGCCCAGGAAGTGGAAAGGAATCAACAAATATATATAAATGATATATACTGTAGTTATGTAGAGATGCTGGAATTGCTGGACCAGACTAGGTTAATGGTCACTCCATCTCCTGCTTCTTGTTTCCTTTGTGTTTCCTGCAAGTGTTTCAGAGGAAGCTGTAAACTTCACCAATGTATCTAATTTTCTAGTAATGCAACAGGGGGGGGAAATTCTTTCATCCCAGTTGATTATTAGCATGCCCTATGAAATACATAAGAATTGACAGTCCCGGTGTTTTACCCTACACATAAACAGATAATTATTTGTGAACAGCTAGTGCTTTACTTGTCTGACTAAATCTTATATGGTTTCCGAATGAAGATTTGATAACATCAAGCAGCCAGGCATTCCAAAGACGAAATGTTGTACAAAGTAGGATTTTTTGTTTGAGTTGTTCTTGTTGTATTACAAAGCCCTGCATAATTCGTCATCTTACATGATCCGTTTACAGAGTCACAGGTATTCTTGCCTTTCTTTCTAAAGTTTACATCATCATCTTTTTATTGTTTCTCTACATGGAGATTATGATAAAATCAATCATTAATTGCTGTTCTTCGAATCTTTTTTTTTTCCCCTGAAAATTCTTTGGGTCTGCTGTATATGTTCTTTTTTCTCTTTTTTTCTTCTTTTTTTTTGAGACAAGATGGTATTTAATGACATTAGAATGTGTTCAGCATTATTCTCTGTCCTCTTCAAATACATTGGTGGGCCTCTACTTGATTGTTCTGTCATAAGCTGTTCACAACAGTGGCTTAAATTATTGGCTTGTTTCAAGTTGCAGCTAACTCAGAATGTACAGTGAGCATATGCATTTTCAACCGTCCTTTCTAGTGCAAAGTATTCAACTGGCTGCAACTAAATAAAGTAAATGAACATGTTGGAAGTGGGGTGTGAACCCATTTTTCTACAGACTGAAAGGATGCATAGCTGTAGTTTAAACCATTTGACCAAGCAAGGGATCAATTCTAAACCTCAGTCCAGCCAACACAAAGGGACAGAAAAGCAGCTGGATCTTTACATGCTGGATCCAGCTGCCACAGAGCTTCTGTGCCATCTGACTCCCTGTGGGTTATGGGTTCAGGGACATGCCTAGAGCAAGATGCTGGAAATATATACCTTGTGCACAGTCTCTTGGGTCTTACCTAACTAGCCTCGTGTCCAAGTAACCTTGTGGAGCCAAACCAGCTCTGCCTACCTCAGGATCAGGGAAACACACATTGCTTCTTGCAGCAATGCCCAGTGGAAATTGAGGAAGAAGCTCATATTTAAATAACGTAAGCAAGACTGAAATGCTAGTATTAACGCCAACTGACTATATGGTTCCAGGTCTGTAACTGCAAATGTCTATTCCTGTCATCTTAAACTTGCCTAAAAGAGCACATACTGACTATTTTGTTCCACCCAAACAATCATTTGCAGTGTCTGGGTGCTAAAAATGTCATTTGTATATGAAGGATACCATACTGATGAGTATATGAAAGGGGTACCATAACAATTCAGTCTCATAAAAACAGATACTGTAAGAGTGGAGGGTGAGACAAAAGAAGAAGCAAAAGAAAATTTATTAGTGTCTGGGGAGCCCTCAGTGAGAAAGAATAGATGATTTTTAAATTAGAGTTGTTTTAAAATATCAACTCAGTAATGAGTAAGCTGAAAGAACAGCAGCATTGATATGCTCAGCGGGCAGATACACAGCAGGATCAAACATCAACAGAGGACATGAATAATTCTGGAGAAATTAGGAAGGATTGGAATATGGAGAACTAGAGAAACAAACAAAGGGGAAAATAAAGAGTAAAGAACCTAAAAAGGAAAGGAAAATCTTCATTTTGTTCTTAGTTACAGCAATGTCCTTTTAAGTGAAATCAGTCAAACTACTGTGCATTCATATTTGGCTTATTGTGATTCCTTATGAATCTTTTAACTCTTACCCAGTGAAGCAGATAAAGTATAGTGGGATTTTACACTACCCCTTACCAAAATAAAGCTGATTTGGTATAGCTCAGTAGCTGTGGTGCACATGGCACCACAACACAATAAATCTTTGGCCAGAAACAGTCATCAGGAAAGAAAGAAAACAAGCATAAAAGCAAGAAACAAAAAGGATCCATAGATGTCAAGATTTTTATTTTAGAAAGGCTGAGGGAAAAGTACATGGTCTGACATGTACAGCATTCCTTGCAAGGAGAAGCTATAAATGATGAGAAGGTTCACCCATTCTGGACAGAGAGTAAGGGAGAACAATACCATCCGGTTCCTGGAGAATTTCTTTGCAATAAGGGTATGTGCATCAAATGCACTTGAACCTAAACAAAATATAAAATAGGTAGTC